GGGAAGTGGCAGTTCCCAGCAGACGAGTAGCAACAAGATACGGTGCTTTAAACTGCCCCAGGCTCCTGCAAGGTAAGTATTTTTTCTAAATCCTTACGTATTAATTTAAAAATGCCTTTAATTTGCCCTTAATCTGAATCCATCCGTCTAACTTCCAATAAGAAGCAGCTAGTCTTTTCTCAACCCTGCTTTAAATTGATCTGATTTGAAAATAGAATTTAAATTTCATCCTTCATTTGGTGTCAAGCGTAAGTCCATTTATTGCTCGTGACTTAATCAGTTGTGTGAATTAGAAAACTTGGCAGACACGAGATCGCCCCTTTGCCCAGCCCGTCTGGGCGCTGCGTTCGTCTCCCTGGTATGATACTAATCTCGTTTGCACAGGGTCCAAAATGACTCCATTGAAACAGTTGTGTGGGATTCAGTCGGCCGTGCTCCGTTCATTTCACTCTTTTAATTGAGATCTTTATAGAGGTGGCTAAGGATATCATGAGGATTAATTGCAGATTTAGCTCGCTGAGTGTGAAGAGTGGTAACTGCCTGTCCGTTGGACACCAGAGCATTTATGTGCATGGTGGTTGTAGCACATCTGAAAGTGAGCTTGTGAAATGAGGGATGTTTAGGTTGTGAGGCTGTATGGTGATTCCAGAATGACGCTTACTGGGCAGCATTTGGGTTTGCATCTGGCACTGTAACTTACTTGAGACCTTAATGAGACCTCCCCTTTAGGTGAGGTCTGTCTCCCTGTAAAGCAGGCGAACAGTTTCATGAATGAGAATGTGTCTTTAATATAGATAGGAATCGTGATTGTAGCGATGCCGTCCTAACAACACGCTGGAATGGCCCGCGTCGCGCTGGCCTCGGGAGCTGGCTTCTTGCTGCTGTAGGCTGTGGTCAGTGTATTCCAGCTTGCCTCCTGCTTCCTGGGGTTTGTTTCCGTTGCCAAGTAGGGGAAGATAGGAATTTTTATTTTAGGGCTTCCACTGGCTACGTGAGGCTCCACTCTTGGTTTTAAACCAGCCTGGTTTTGCTCTATTTTAGCACGTCCATCACCAATGACAAAAAAACTGCAGCTTTTTGCAACTATTCGTCCTGTGATAGCAACGCTCGCTGAGACGTGCCAGGCACTGTCCTGGAAAAGCCTCCCGCTCCACGTGGCTTGCGCCACCTCCGAGGCCTGAGCCTCCTAACGGGGAGAGGGCTGTGGAAGCCGGGTCTAGATTTACCGGTTTGCTGAGTCCGGGAGCGTGGTCTCGGGTCGGGGTGCTCGGGACACACGCGAGTACGTGCATGCAGCCGCTCGATGGGACGTGCTCGGGACGCCTGGGAAGCTGGTGGGAGAGGGGGAATCCAGGCTGGGGCAGCGGCTGCTGCTGGAGCCCTGGGAGCAGGAGGCTGCTGCGTTTGTGCAGCCTCTTGCTGTGCTTGGAGCAGGGCTGAAGGATTAGGCTGCAGGACCTGCTATAGCAGCCTTGAAGCAACTAATTCTTGCTTGTAGCAAGCTTGTGGCCTCGGCTTCCCGTTCCTTGTGGCTCGACGCTGCCCGGCAGGAGGAGGGAATGCTTTGCCTCCCTTTGGCGTGTTTTTATTTTAGCTTTTACAGTCCACCAGGAAATGCAGGCCTATTATTTTGGCTAACTGGAAGTAAAGCCCACATCTAAAGATATGTAATTATGAACAGTGTTTTGAGCCCAATTCGTGACCTCTTCTGATACTTTTAAATGGTAAAAGTAGACTGTTTCTGAGAACAAGTTTATGTATTGCAAATCCTATTTGCCTGTACTTAAGGGAGAGCTCTATGTTTTGTAGACTTATTTTGGTCAAGAGAACTCATTGCTTATAAAATCGATTGAAGTTCTTCGAGAGATTTCGTACAACTATTGAAAAGAAAGATTCAGCCGATTTATATACTTTAGTTTTCAAAAGTATTTTGACATGGTCCATAGCCCAGGGTTTTTAAAGAAACTGCTGAAACTCCAAAGGGCATTTTCTTTTCTAATACCTGCCTAGAAGAAGGTGAAGAATAAAAGGCAGGAATGAATAACCCCCCCCCCTTATTTTTTCTTCCACAATGTACAGTGTAAAAATCATTAGATGATAGAGTGATTCTATAGGAAATATATGACCGGAGGGGTTCCCCAGTCGTCTGGACTGACACTTGTGGTAAATAGCTAATTCATAAGTGATCTGGCAAAGGGCAGGATAATACATTTGCTTAGAGTGCAAAACTGGAGATTTGCAGAGAGCTCTCATGTAGATGCAACTGGACACTAAAATAGCAGATGAGATTTGGGATTGGAAAATGCAGGATAATGAGTGGAGGTAAAAGTAATCCCAACTACTCATACAGCTAAGGGGGCACAATATTAAATTAGCTGCTGTTACTCAAAAAATAATTGTTGGAATCTCTAATAATACTACAAAAGGTCTCTTTGAATGCTGGAAATGGGAAGTTGGTGTTCAAAGACAAGCAGAATGCTACATAGATTCAGAAAGGAATAGGAAAAAAAGTAAAAACTAGTATTATGTTAATGTGTAAATTCAAAGCATGCTTACACCCCTCGTGTGTATACATACATGTTACATACACACACACATATATGTTTGTATATACATACATGAAATATGCACATGAGAGGATAAAAAAAAAATGACCCAAAGTATAGAGCAGATCCTATATGAGGACACTAGTCCTAGACTAATGAAGAGATAATCTGGGGCCTGTGAAAAACTGTGATGGCAGGTTGGCAAAATGGCATTGGAAGAGCAGTGAATAATCTGGGAGCTGCCTTAAAAAGGCACAGGCTAAGTCACGATACCTTAGGAGTTACCTAAAACTCCTAAACCAGTAAAATACGGTGCTTTCTTGGACAGTGCCTGGTTAAACTATGCAACAGAACTTCCTGCAGGAGTACTTTATAAATTCAAAAAGGGATTAGATACGTTCCTGGGAAAGAGCGTCTGTGGATATCCTTTAGACAGGACGCTCTGGTCCAGCCTGCAGCTCGGGAGGTCTCCCGAGCCCTGATGCTGGAGGCCGGGAGGCATCTGCTCCTCCCGGGCTCGTGTTGCACCGGCTAAGCAAACACTTGGTCTGACTCCACAGGGCTGCTCCTGCTTCCAGAGCGCCTCGTTTCCTGCTCCTCATTTCAGGCATCAGCAGGTAAAAATGTTTTAGCTGAAGCTAAAGGGATGGTTGTAGGACAGTTATTCTCACAAGGAACGCCTGTGGCTTTCTGCTTCCTGCCATTTACCTTTTCTGTGGAATACTTATAAGTAGGCACCTGGTTTTAAACTAAAAACATGTTCTTTAAACTCCAATATTCAGCCAATTCAGTAATTTAATTCTTGCGTGCATGTAATTTTTCAGTGGTCAATATCTAGCTCTGATTTATGGCAGTGTTACTGATAGCAGTGATTGCTGTTAAATTTTATCTTTTAAGCATTTTTATATTACGAGCATTTGAATTATGTTTGAATGCATAGGATTGGTCCTGAATCCTGCATTTCTTAACTAGACAAATCCCATTATGCTCTCCGTATCTTTTCTTCATCCTTTCTGAATGGAGTGAGCTTACTTGTGTAGCCTCATTTGGCACATTATATCGGGTGACGCTGTGCAGAACTTTAGCTGTTACTCAAAACATCTACTGAAAAAAAAAATCAGACAAAATCGCTTTTAGAAATATGAAAATCATGTTTTGAATTGCCACTTTCCAGAGAAAACGTTGTTTTATGCAAGTCTGCATAAGTTTCAGTGGCATCTTAAAAGTGGCTATAGAAAATGAATTTTATTTTTTAAATCAACTAAATGAGATGAATTGTGGGTAAAAAAGGAAGGAATTAACAATGATTTTTACAGAACTTAACTTAAAAAATAAATTCAGTTCTTGTAAGAGATCTATACAGGTACACAGGTTATTGTGTTTATTTTATCCGAAGTGGAAGAAGAAAAGAGCCGAAGTAAATATCGGTGCTTTCAAAGTTAGTTGCATGATTTTTATGCAAAGGAAATTTAATTCATTGCTCTTACCCCGTCTTATGTTCTCTGTCCCTCCCACATTCCTGTGTTTATTGGTGACGCTCCTTGAGGATTTGTAGCTATTTTGAAAGGGGGGAATACTGTCATTTTACCAGTATCTTTCCTTCTGCACTGCCTGCTCAGCGATGAGCCCGGCCCTTGGCTGTGGGTATGTGGTAACTTGGGATGTTCTCGGGCTGACAGAACTAAGGGCTCTGGTCTAGACCCAGGCATTAGTGCCTTTGCCAGGCACTGGTTGATGAATTCAGATATGCAGCTGTTATCACCAAAAGTTAAATAAGAAGATAATTGTAGCACTGTTTTGTACTGAAAGCTCTGCCTGCTTTCAAAGCTTCATGCAGTGTCTGTTTATCTGCAGCCTTCGAGGTGCAGTGAATGTCTTGGCTGTCCTGGCACGTGTGCGTATCGGCAAGAAGCGATACGGAGGTTCCTTTTCAGACACAGAAACACACAGCTCTTTGGACAGGCAGGTTGCTTGTTCTCTCAGACGGCTGGGTTGCAAAAGACGTGATTTTTTGCAGACTTATCCATGGGTTAATTCCCTCAGTGTTACGATGGGATTTAAATTCACTTGTT